GTGGAATAACTTGCATCAATAATGTACTGCAGTTTACATTTAATTGTGAAAGGTTTTTGATAGTTGATATTACTTACTCATATTAWTTTRTTCTGAACCAACAAATACTATTAAGTGAATACTTGTTCTTATTTCCAAATGGAGATGTCTTAGTCAGCTGTTGTATCATTTAAGTTAAAAGGCCTTTTAAACTTAAAACTTCATTATGAATATTAAACTTAATGTAAATAGTTCTTGTAATTAGACTTCCCGTTTTGGTTGATATATCCTCMAGAGGTTGATTTAACCCACAAATGGGTTTATCCAGTTTGTATTTGTTTTTGGCAGTTATAAATCATTTTTTCTAGCGTCTTTTGGTTTGCTTTATGATTGTCATTGATCGAATTGACATTCGTTATTACAATCGCTATCGAGCGTGGAATTAYCCTGTTATTCGGACATAAAGATCGGACTAAATTGTGAAAAACACTTAAAAAACTTTGATCATTATAGTTAATGCTGTAGGATGAAATCTGTGATAGATAAAGAAAGATAAAAAATATAAAAAACAAAGTTTACTTCACTTACCAGCGACGAAGTTCAGCACGTGGAAGATCTTGTCTCCTGAGCCAGCGTTTTTATATGTCACCGTCGTTGGCTAGTTGCCATGCCAATGCTACGTCATGGTGGAGACATGTGTGATAACGATGCTAACTGCGCATATTCATTCACACGAGATCATACGATTGGATACTGTTCAGATTCGAAAACCCACATCAAAGAACAAGTTCAAGAATCCTTGTATATATACTGTGGTTTTTCATTACAATTGATATTTGATGTGCTGTGTCTTTGTTGCTATTAAAATTTTAATAGGGCAGGAATGGTGAATTACAGGGGGAGACAAGTTTGCAATTGCAGGGGATGGAGTTTGAGTTGTATTTAGACCTTCAAATCACGTGATAGTGTTACSGACGGACTTACAAACCGATAACATAGTGGTTACCCGTCTATAGACGGAGTAACCACAAAAAGGCGATAATGTAGAGTTTTCGATTAAAAAAATGCACTATCAGTATAAATATATACAGTTTTCAAAAGAACTGTTCAATTTCTTTCCATCATGTGGCTTTATGGGTAACGTTAGAGGCTTTCTTCGTATGTTGTACATTTAAATCCTTCTCAATCTGCTTTGCAAAGCGATCAAACGGAGATAAGTCAAAAGCTTGTTTTTTTACCACCAAATACACAAAAATGAATTGTTTTCAAAAGAATCATTCGTGTGTCTAGATCTTCACTGAATCTTGTGGCTTTCTTGGTATCAGTAGGAACTTCGTTTTCGAGTAGGATTGATTTTGTTTTCACTAAAGGCTTAACAAACACACTAAAATTTGCATAACTCGCTATTTTGTTAACCCTCCACTCATGGTACACGAGCTAATAGCTAGCCTAGTAGTAGAGAAACCAATCAGTGCTTGCGCTTGCTCATATCCAATGATTGTGTATAGACTTGTAAAATATAAATAATTGATACAAGTATAGTGTTAAACCTATTATTATAACAGACACTAGTAATAATTTTTAAATTATTACTAGTGTAAAAAAACTAAAAAACTCTTCTATTTTATAACTCTATCTATTTACCAACAGACATAGGAGCTGCAAGTTGTACGGCAAACCCTGATCCTGTGCTAGATGGCAATAATATCACCTTAAAGTGTTCAGCTTCTGGTTATCCAGCTGTTAACTATAACTTGACTGTTAGAAACTTAGAAGTTTCTGAAAATGTAATAACTTTCAAGGCAGAACCCAGTCTTAATGGTGCCGTTATGACATGTAAAGCTGTTAATGAGTTTGGAACCAGGAATTGCACGAAAACAGTAACAGTGTACTGTAAGTATGTGATATTGGTGCTACATAGTTATTTTGATGGATGCTTATCTTAAATTATTTATGTGCTTATTTGCTTCTTGTTTATCTTCTTTTTGTTCTCTTTATGTGTGTATATATATTTTGAGAAGGATCTACACGGTATTGATAAACATATCGAAAGGTCTGATGCCCCTATTGAGTGAACCTGAATTTTTGTGATATTTGTGCAACAACATTTATGAATAACCACATTTTAATCTACATAAGATTAAATATATAATAAGTGAAACTTTAATTGCAACATAAGAGACTCCTGTGTGTACATCAGAGCCATGCATATGGACATCCATATATGGAAGTCGTACGACAGACTCTATATTTTTAACACATCTCGAATTTTTAGGATTTTTTTTCCATTGTAATTGTAACGGTTTTCAGTTGACCTCACAGTGGTCATATTGTACTTATAATATTTGTACATGTTATTGTGTCATTCTTGATATCACCAACATGACCGCCGATCTTTTTCTTTTGATTCAGAAGGAAATGATTAAGTTATTGTTTTCTTACTTTCAGATAAGCCATACAACATCCAAGTGTCACCAACAAGTGTTGTTTTGAACGAAAAAGAATCATTTAATCTCATTTGTAACGCGTCCGCTAATCCTCCTGGCGAGTACTCCTGGTCATTTAATGGAAATGTTTTGGATGGTGAAACCGATAAAGTATTAGCCAAACCCGGCATAACACGTGATGAGGCTGGAGAGTATAGGTGTACGGTTACTAACAATGTTGGTAGTGGTGCAAGTAATATTTCTGTGGTTAAAGTTCGATGTGAGTACTTTATCCACCAACGATATACTGTACTCATACTCCAATAATTCGTTGGCCTCCAGTCCAGCTGTGTTGTTCCAAAGTGAAAGATCTTCCACTGTTCTGGTTGTCAGGGAATTGGATGTTTACTAACTCCCTCTCATGCCTTCATGTCCAAGTTTTCTTGGTTGGCGAGGAGAGGGCGTCTTTGCCAATATCTTTCCATTTCTTTGAATTCCTGCCTTTGTTGAAAACTTTTTAAACATCTGCACACTTACATCACTAATGAGATTCTTTGTCTCCTTTTTTAGCAGATTGCATGTTTTCTTGTTGGGTTTTGATTTGTTTGATTTTTATAGTGTATATATTTGTTTCCGTGCTTTTGTTGTTTTGTTTTTCATTTTGTTTGTTTGTTTGTTTTCCGTATTTTAACTTTCTTATTGTAACTTTATTGTAATACTACGTCAAACGTTTGGAAAATGTTTAACTCTCTATGTAGTCTATAATGTGCTAAGACTCTTCAACATTATTATTAAATCTGAATGCTAAATATACATAAATCATAGAAATGCTACTCTAAGTGTCTGATACTGATTCACGACACATAAAGACAGAAACATTATTTAAACAAATTAATTCTATCGGACATAACTGACAATCTAAACCTTTTGCGACTCATTATCTCAATAATATAAACTACGTTACTAAGTAGACGTATGTTTTAAGTAGCGTAGTCTTAGTCTAGATCATTACTCGCCATTGCATGTGTATTACCTTAGGTCCTCATGCAGGTAGAAGTAGATTACCAGTTATAGTATATATACTAGTTTTTATCTTTCAGTTTTCATTGTTTTCAGCACTGCTGGGCCGTAGTCCACAACTCAAATAGCTCTTGCCAGGATTCTCTGAATGTATCAAAACTGTATAATAAATGTATTCCCTTTCCTTTGGGGACCGTCGAAGTTCGTTAGATATTTCTAAACCGCCTCCTCATTACACTTTCCAATACTTGTCTCACGAGTGGGCATCAACCCTATTGCTAACACTATGATTTCAACTTTTCTAGATTTGGAAGAGTGCATGACTAACTACACGCTGACCAATAAGCAGAATCTTACCTTATCACCGAAAGGTTTTCCTGAACCAATTCTTAACTGTGCAAAGGGTAATTTCAATCTGACAGGAAGTAACACTTTATCAACAACGGAAGGCAACGACATTTGTACAATTTCCAATGCTGCTGGAAAATGCCAATTTGAATACCAAGTAGTGATTCAGGGTAAGCTAGTACGACAATATTGATATTAGATTATTTTAGTTTCATGCAACCCGTGGTATTCAAATGGGTCATATTAGATTTCAAGTAAAGTTTGATTTCTCGAAACGAAATGCTTTTAGTAGACTGTCTGTTGGAATGGTTTCACGCACCACTTGGCATAAAAGGAAATTGAAGTACAATAGCTTTAAAGTGCACCTAACCCATGAAAAATGTCATTTTTTCTAAAATTAGGGAAGTTTCTAAGAGCTTTGGCGAAAAAACGACTCGATTTCATTCAATTCCTGATTTTTGGCAAATGTTTTAAGTTGGATTTCACAGCCTTGAAAGCTCACGGTCAGAAGTATGGAAACGAGTGTGACGTCAACCCAGACAATAAGACAATACCTTCTCTGATATTTGGTGTTTTGTTACAACCGTAAACAACACACTGATTCGGCGTTTTTAACTCAAAAATTTATAAAAATCTATAAAAACTCTACTACCTATAGTGAGTGTTTACATGAGGGTTTCGCACTCTGATACTGGGTTGACGTCACAAGTCACATGATACTGTAGAATTGCTTGTCCACCACAGGGAGCTCGAAGTACCTTTTCTTGCATGTTTAAAAATTAGTTAAAAATCGGGATTTCAATAAAATCGTGTCGGTGTTTTTTCGCCAAAGTTCTCTGAAACCTCCCTAATTTTAGAAAAAAATGTCATTTTTCAGGGGTTAGGTGCACTTTAAGGTGGCTTTCTACTGTTTCGCTTTTGGAAAATCTTGCTATGCACCGATTTGTTTTGTGTTTGGACCAGTATTAAACCATTGACCAAAGTTTTGTTTGGCATAATATTTAGCTTTATCAACGTTACCTAGGCAGCGGAATTTGCATTTTGTCGAAATTCGTTTTTCCCAAATATCTCAAAAAATTGATGAGATCCAGAAAAGCGGTAGACACCATCATTAACTTCAAACTATTGTATAACGTTTTGGAATAGTTAAAAACAAATTCATCTGTTCAATTTCGATAATATTGACAAACATTTCATGGATGTGATTTTTGCATATTACTCGAAATCGAACGTGCAGAGATAGATAGTATTTTTGAAACAATGAACTTACCTATAACCCATTTTATAGCTGTAAAATAACGACTTCTTTATCGCAAAACACTAAAATGTTCAGCATTTAACGTTTTCTGAAATAACCTGTATGCATCCGACACAGTGTCAATATGAAATCTTCGAATTCTTTGAAAAGTGTAAAGGAAGGTTATAGATGCATGAACTAGACATTTTTTCAATCCTTTACTTTCAGTTGCAGTATATAATTATAGCGCCACATTTCGCTTGCCAAACCGTGAATTCCAAGAGGATTTGGACGACAAAACCTCCACGGCTTACAAGAAACTGAAAGAAGAAATTAAGAAAGTGGTAAGTATGGATTCAAAGATACCAAGTGTCCCAAGTAACGGATGGTAATTCGTTTACTAGACCCTAAAATATTTTCTGAATCCCGATAATTCAAATTTTTGTTAACGTATGCTGTAAGACGAACTGAGGTCTGAGGTCAAGTAAATCCCTGTCGCATCTCGGTCATTGTGTTTTCAAATATGCCGGATAACACAGATGGCTTTTTCATACGAACTATTATAAGGATTGTGCATTACTTTTTGCACATGTGAGTTTTGACGTATATATTTGACTGACGTAGTATATAATCTAGCACCGTGGAATTTAACCTCATGAATTTAACTTATTGGCGTGATAGACTCCATGATTTGACATCCGCGACTTTTATACAGAAATTCCACTTGTGTCAAATTTCTATGATATACCTGCGATCACACTAACAAAGCTTGAATTCTTCAGAACAAGAAGTGACCAGTTATAAAATCGTCAGTTTGATTCGCTCACTAGTTTAGACGGGTGATAATTTATGCATCAGAAATCTGTTGTTTCTTACTCCCTTACCGTGAAGACGGTAAACAGTAAATAAACTTTATGAAAGCGGGTTAGTGTGTACGAGACCAAACTGATTTTTTTTCTTCTTTGAAGCTTAAGTCGGTGTATAAAGGTTACAAAATTGTCATCGGAATATTTATTACTGCATTTTGGTAAGTACATTTTATTGACTATCGCATTAAGATTTGGTATATGGGTAGCATTTGCTAGGAGGGTTCAACGGGTTTCTGGGAGAATTATATCTGCTCTTATGTCCCAGTGGGATGAAAGTTACAAGTAGTTGCCAGTAATACTATCAGAAATAAAACATTTTTCTCAGGAAACTAAAAATTTTTCAAATGAATACATGTTTTCGAGGGGCTAAAGGTTCCAAAATTGTTGAGCACTTGGGGGAAAACCCTGTACAACAGTTCTCGTCAGAAAAATGGTCAGAATATCTGTTCGGTATCCCATTGACAGGAAAAATAAATGGTAAAAGAACAGAAGTCGTAGGCTCCTCCTGATTTGCGAGTGTAATCATGTCAACGGGCACTCACTGTGTGACGGTCAATAATAGAAATGTTAATCATGGCCAAAGAAATATCTTCTTGATTTTAACTTTACCCATAATGCAACAAAATTCGTTTAGAACTTGTACTGTATGACATAGCTTTCTATGGATAAAATTTATAAATATATCAATAAGCAATGGCAAACCATGTGAAAAAAGCTATAAATGTGTGAATAAAATGTAAGTGAAGGCATGCACTGGTAAGGCATTGCTATGATTTGATTTGTGAATTCGTAACTTCTTGTTTCTAGGGAGGGAAGCGTCAATGTAGATTTCAACCTCGAATTGGTTGCGAACGTGAGTGATCCTTTGTCACCGTTGAAAAATGCCGTGACAAACGCTGGAGGCAATCTGAGTGGACTGGTAATAGACCCTAGTAGTATTCAAACAGGTTTGTGAATTAAAGAAGAGTGCTCTATTTTATTAAAGCCCCCCCAAAGAAAAAAAAACGGTTGACTCAGGGGACGTTAGGGTCTTGACTGAAATCTGATTCGGTTGCAAACCAAGGCCACGTTTTGAACGATGTTTTAGAGATATTAACGGCATTTTAAGTATTTTGTAAGTAGTGCAAGATGGTGCTGAAGGCTATACCGCATATAACCGTTTTGCGATCTAAGATTTCATGTCCTTTACACACAAGCTTTTCAAGATCAGAAATTCATAAGATCCTTTTCGAGATCGAGGTTGATAGTCATCTTGAAGGCTTTCATCGATTTGCAATGTGACGTCTTATATACAATAACTACCAGAACACTTGTCTTTGTTAAGTATTTAGACCCACTAGACTCCAAAGAGATTCAAAATTTGTATAACCAAAAAAAAATGCACAAGGCTCTCTGGTAGTTGTAGCTAGGTTACTACAACAGGAGGAGGACAACAGCAATCTACCAAACTACTGCATTCTTGAGTATTTTTTTAGATATCAAAGGACATGTCTTCAACTTTGTCAGCTTTAGAAGTCATATCTTTTTTATTCTCTTACAGTAATTATGCAAAAATGAAAACATTTTGAATGGAGCAATCTAAACCAGTTGAAATTGAAGGGATTTCTTATCCTTATTTATTTGATCAGTATTCATGTACAGTTTTAAAGAAAACGCTCAATTTGTATCGTAAATCTTCCGAGTTATCCAAATTTGATGTTATGGCTATACAGAAAACAAACCTTAGTACTGGTTAGTACAATGAGTTTTAGTATAATCTTTCAAAGAAAAACGTTTACAAAGTTTTTTTTATATTTTTTAGTTAATTTTGAAAAAAATTAAAGTGCCGCCTTATCCTTACTTAGTATAATCATCGCAGAATATTCGATTGAATGAGATGCATGGTGCATCTTGATGCATGAACAATGTCGACTATTTTCAAGCACTAATCAAGCATGTATAAGATGTTTTGAGCTGCCTTGAGTTATAGCGGTTTTTGATTGGCTAGTTTAACATGGTAATCTTTCGTACTCCTGTTTAGGTACAACACCTACACCAACAATACCAACAACGACAAAGGAAGACATCACTGATTCAGACGGTCTCAGTACAGAAGCTAAAATCGCAATCGGTGTTGCGGTCCCTATTGTTGTCATCTTAATCATTGTACTGGTATGTTGCTGCTGGTACAAGAAGAAGGAAAAAAAGGGGGAGGAAAGTAAGTAATTTGTTTCACAAAGCATTTGTATAGATGTTTTTAATTTTTTAATGTAAAATGTTTCTATGTTAACGTGGCCATATTCCTCACTTTCTTATTCAACTGTCATATGCAATGCTTTGAATTATAATTCAGTGATAGTTCAGCTTTCCTTTAAAATCGTGCTCTTTCTATTTAGATATTTCTCTCGAAGAAGGGAGTCCCTACCGGTAAGTACAATTTATAATAGCGTTATAAAATACATTAAATTATCAAAGGATATCATTGTACGTTCTTTTTGCCAATTCTCCTTTGCATTCAGCTCAAATGAATGTATTTGGTGATTCCTAATAATGTATGATGATCAAATATGTTTTTGCACCAATAAAATTGCATGCATATTCCTTCACAGCCCAGTGAATGGTGAAGAGAACCTAGGATTATCCGAATCTCAGACATCCTATGCCCAGTCTGGTCCAAAATCTGATCATAATGGCCAACCAACCAACAACAACCCAGACACAGGCGATGGAACGGCTACATATGCAGCAGTGGACATGTCTAAGGTATACGCTACAAAGCTTCTGGTAATTCTTCACATGAGTAGCATTTTCTATACATAACTTAATGTCGGCCATGTTAATTCATTTGGCGAGTATATCATGGTATTGATAAAAATATCAAGATGACTACGGAGGATGAATTGGACGAGTATCCATTATTCCAAGAAGAACGCATAAATTAGCCGATTTTGAACTTTATGAAGCATGAGTTTATGAACTAAATTTTGCTACGTTTTGTGTTTTGTTCTTTTCCCCTCCATTTATACAGAAGAAAAAGAAGAAGCAAGAAGGAGAAGTACTTTATGCAGATTTAGATTCAATGCGACCTGGCAATAACAAGGGAACTGAACTGCAGCCGATGTCTTCAAGTGGAAACATTCCTGAGAAGAGAGAAAGTGATTATGCTTCCATCGATTTTTTCAAAACACAAAAGCAAGGTGAGTTAAATAAATCAAATGTCTACAAGGCGTAATAGAATAT